CCACACCACCAGCGAAAACAGCTGGTGATGCTTCAATGGACTCCCAGTGCGCCCCGGTATGGACCGGTCTTATTTACAGCCGCAACTAACATGGTGAACAGACGCTGGCCAGAAAGCCGTTCACTTTGAGTCCATCGCGCCTGGATTTTGATCGGTCACCTATATTAGAGAGGCGGTAAATACTCGCCTCTGTCGCAGGAGTTTCATAGTATTGGCTGGCTTTTATACCGCATCCTCCACTCCTGCCGCTCATCGTCGGGGATTGCTTATTTGTTGTAACTTATTTCGAAACTAACCTGCTATTACAGGCCGTCCGACTATCCGCGATCTGCCGAGCCGCCCCCCAGGCAGCTTAGAGCTCAGCTGGGATACCTATTCCCATAGGATCCAAGACCAACGGGTGTTTGTTGCCATGTATATCAAAACGTATGTGTGTGTTTGTGTGTCTGTGGATTCATGCACAGCCAAGTTGAAAAATTTGATTAATGATACGTGCAGCGACAAAAAATGAAAACATACACAACAAAAACAATGGCGATAAGCCCAACAACAATGCGGCCACAAAGCTGTTGAGGTAGCTGTACCAAAGCCAAGGGAATTAGCACGCGCGGCTTGCAGCTTAATGCCGTGGTGTTACAAGTATTTATTTGTATCAATATATGCATCCCTNCGCTTTACCGGTTCCGGAAAACTCGGACGAACCGGCGCTCGATCTCGCTCGCCCGGAGCAATGCAGTCTACTAGTTCTGCTCCCAATGTACACTGCCTCACCACGGCGCGAAGGAGCTAGTTACTGATTTACAACATGGCTGACACTTCGGCAGAGCTGACTCACAACACGCTCTCCACACCACCAGCGAAAACAGCTGGTGATGCTTCAATGGACTCCCAGTGCGCCCCGGTATGGACCGGTCTTATTTACAGCCGCAACTAACATGGTGAACAGACGCTGGCCAGAAAGCCGTTCACTTTGAGTCCATCGCGCCTGGATTTTGATCGGTCACCTATATTAGAGAGGCGGTAAATACTCGCCTCTGTCGCAGGAGTTTCATAGTATTGGCTGGCTTTTATACCGCATCCTCCACTCCTGCCGCTCATCGTCGGGGATTGCTTATTTGTTGTAACTTATTTCGAAACTAACCTGCTATTACAGGCCGTCCGACTATCCGCGATCTGCCGAGCCGCCCCCCAGGCAGCTTAGAGCTCAGCTGGGATACCTATTCCCATAGGATCCAAGACCAACGGGTGTTTGTTGCCATGTATATCAAAACGTATGTGTGTGTTTGTGTGTCTGTGGATTCATGCACAGCCAAGTTGAAAAATTTGATTAATGATACGTGCAGCGACAAAAAATGAAAACACACACAACAAAAACAACGGCGATAAGCCCAACAACAATGCGGCCACAAAGCTGTTGAGGTAGCTGTACCAAAGCCAAGGGAATTAGCACGCGCGGCTTGCAGCTTAATGCCGTGGTGTTACAAGTATTTATTTGTATCAATATATGCATCCCTCTTATTTCCCAAGTTGATTGTGCTCATGCATTCAGTGTTGCTCATACGACATGGTGTACTGTAAGAATACGTTAAATAAGTAAGTAAAGCGGCTGCTTGGCGATGCACCTAGGCCATGGTGATTCCACCAGCCCTCAACTCTCCTCACTCTATCGGCTCTTCTCTGAACAAACCCATGCTTCTGTGAGAGTTCATCAATCCGAAAATATTTCTCTGTGAAACAGCTGAGACGTCGTCAAGAAACCCTTGACCGACATTTCCGAATCTTTTTCTATTTAGAGCATTACTGCGTTTAACTTCTAAAGTAAAACGTTTATAAAAAAAAGTATTAAGAACTTTTTTAAATAGCGAGATATATATGCATATTACAATATC